ACATAAAGAAAAGATTTCTATGTCCTGTCAGTTTCGTTTAATATGCGTGCGCAAGACTATAATTCTGGTTATACTTGAGTTCATTTCGAAAGCGGAGCACTTAGCCTGGCAGTAAACGTGAGGAAGCAGGAAGGGAAAAAGGGAATACATAACAAACTGATCATGTATGTATTTTCTTAATTTCTTCTATAATCATAGTAACGAAGCCGGGGAAAAATATTGGATGATATACCATTACAACTTTGAAGGCCTCAAATTACTCAAATTATGAGCAAATTAGCTTTGAGTACTGGTCAAAAACATTTTTTTGGTGTAGATATTGTTCCTGAGGGCATCCTAATCTAAAAGTCTAGCATCTAGAAGAATGCTTTCAGACGGCTAATTTTTGCTCAGACAATCTCACAAGGTGTTTACAGCGTGGATTCATTTGATCCCCTGTGACCTTTGAGCTGACCGTGGCCCTAAATTTCAAAAGCTATGCTCTACTGAAAATGCTTTCAGTATTAAGGCAGGAGTTGAACTAACTTAAAGCTCTCAAAACAGTCAAAAGGGTAGACTGCATCGTAACAATTACAGGCACATTTGGCTGCCCCCTCTTTTAAAAAAATAATTTTCCAACAAAATCAGGTAAAGGTTGAATTATGAGAACTGGCAGGGCCTCTGGGAGCTGGAGGACAGAACCAATATATTCCATTTCATCCAAGTAAGGCAAGAACACTGTTTGAAAAATGACACATAAATCACATAATCTCAAAGATTTTGACAATGAAAAACCCTCACTGCAAAATCAAAATATGTGTAAGGTCGTAGATAAAGAGGGGATATGGCCATTCAGCTAAATCAGTTTCCCAACTTATGCAGAAGTAAATACTGGATATGGTGCATGATAAGTAAACACTATAAATATATAGAGATTGGATTTAGGATAATAATTTTATACTTTCATGTTGCACCTTCAAAGTTTGTTGACGGTACACAATACTGCACAAAAATTAAAACTTTTCTGACTATAGCAAGGATACAGAATTTGTCCATATCTCAATGGTAACAGGACTTATGACATTATCAAAGCATGATAAGATTGTTTAAAAAAACAAAAAAACAAAACAAGTAGGCCTAGGGTTAAAAAAAATAAAAATTTAATTGTTAAGAGCAAGTACGGTGCCAGAAACGTAAATGCTTCTAAATCAAACGAAATATACAGCAAGAAGAAAAATTAGCGCCAATTTAACCAAGACTCACAAAACAAGTTTGATATGTTGGCCTATTTGAAGCAAATATATACATATGACATCAATACCATGAATGAAAAAACAAAAAAACAACAACTTTGATACGACTCCCCTTTCCTGGTCAACATGACGTATCATCTCATAGTCAACACCAGCGAACAAAATGGTAACCGTAGGAATGAAGTTGGGCAAAAATGACATATTCCGACAATCAAATAAGACTCTTCAAAAGAATCCATTGTATTTTCAACCCTGTGAGTTCCTCTGAGGTAGGGTTGGGCACACTGTTCCGATCTGGAACCACAAACTAGGCCTTAAACAGCAAAAGTAAACCTTTTACTTCTGGACATAGTGCTTTTGGTAACATTTTTATAAAGATTTTAGACAAAACTTAATCTGTGTTACCATAATAAAATGATTAGAATTTTTTTAATTCAGCAAATTTTCCTTTTTTTTTTCGCTATGAAAACTAGCCTTGGCTCTAGTAATTTGTGAAAATTAAAGAAAAATTCTCTGAATGTTACCGCAGGCTGTAGAAAAAAATGGAGGGCCACATTTGGCACAGGGGCTGTGGTTCGCCCACCCTTGCTCTAAGGTTATAAAGCAAGTGATGAAACCTTAGAAATACATTAATAAGTTTTATTTAAAGCTTATACAACTGCTGTCAAGATTTTAAAATTCTTCTTGTCTGTGCTGGATATGACAACTAAAAAAAATAATCTTTTTTTTCAAAACCAATTTCTTTACGTCAGAAATCGTTTAGTTTTTAAAAAATTACTTGATGAGCTACTGGTGCACATATTTAAATTAAAGATAACATAGACCTGAAGAAAAGGACACACCTACGAGCAGTTACAAATAAGAGAGAAAATGGAATAAAATGTTCATTTATTAGTTGTTCTCTTCTTGTCATTATTCCAACTGTATGAAAATTAACTCTTTCACCACCCGGGGGTTTTCCTCACCTGGACCAGGCCCAATCTGTGACCCACTTTCTGATTCTGCCTACCCTCAGACAGATTAAAGATTTTGAGCTCAATTATCAATACTAGCAACGCGTACTATTGTGAAAATAAAGGGGAAATAACGGCTCGCGGTAGTGAAAGAGTTAACTAAAACATATCACCAAAAAAAAAATGTTTTAAATTCTAAATTAAAGCTGCAATTGGATACAGATTTGAGCTTTCTATACGTTCTGCTAATGAATGCCATAATATGACCAATTAAAACAAAATAAAACTTGCAATTAAATTAAAGCAAGTGAGGTAAAAAATTAACTTTAAGCTTTGGACAAATATGAAACTCTTCACCAGAAAAGGTACCATATATCACAGAATTTACCTGAGGGGTACTGAAAGGGAAAGACTTAAATTGAAACTTTTCAAAACTGCATTTTACATCATGCTTTAAATTAAGGGTACCCGGTAACAAAAACATAAACATATGTAAAAGTTGATTTAACAAAACATGTATGTACACTTACTTAATTAAAAAAGGTGTCAATATTAATTTGGTAAATTAAAGCATAACAATGAAAGCATAATCTGTACACAAGAGGGGAAGTAGAATTTATAAACAAAAAGTGACTGATGCTTGTAAGACAAGAGAGGAAATAGATTGTATTATAAATAAAATATAAAAAACTTTAAGTAAGACAAAGAGGAAACAGAATTTATAAAAGAAATACAATTATGAACAAAAAGACTGTAAGACAAGAGAGGAAATAGAATTTATAAACAAAAAGACTATAAGTAAGAAAGGATCCCCCACCACCCCATTATTTGTGGTCGTTAAAATACCAAAATACCACTGAAAATAAGAAAACATGACATCACAGTGAAATAAACGAAAACCTTTTGAGAAAGATTTCATATGTTAAAAATTTCAGCAAAAAACAACTTGGTAGTGGGATAATTTTCTGTTCAAAATTCAAGGTCACAGAAAAGATGGATTTTTTTAAAAAACGTAGGAAATTGATGAAGACAAAAATGCCATTCTCAATGACTTTAAAATCTTACATCAGAGTTCATTATTCAATATACATAATAAATATTGTACTACAAGCCACTTAAAAATCCCTGATAAAGCATTATATCTCAAATCCCTTAGACAGCAGATACAAGCAATTATAACCAAACAACAAAATAGCTCATTAGGGCAAACACCAACTTCTTATTCTTGTACAATTCCTTACCAAATATCCTTCTTATACATTAATCAGGATCAATTTCCAAAGCATGTAAGCAGGCATGAAGACTTGCCAGAATTTTTAACCATGGAGTACCATTTCACATTACAGCAAGCAATGACGCATAACAGCTATCAATATAAGCAAAAAATTGAAATATATATAAAGACTAGAAAGAAATCCAGAGAGTGATGGAAAACTAACTGACAGGTGATATTTAATGATACCAATATTTCTGACCAGTCAAGATGACTAATTTAACTACCCCCCCCCCCTTCCCCCCAAGACAATGACCCTCACCATGAGAACAAAAGTGCACAATGCAGAGATTATTAGCTCTGTCTTCTTACAATTTCAAAATTTGAGAAAGCTAAAAATGTCCTTTCCTCCCTCCATTCAAAGTAAGCTAAAGGGAAACATCTTTAAGTAAGTCAGGACACAGCCCTATAATAGAATCTGACATCATAGGACACAAGAAAAGACAAGATTTCACTCTTTAAGGATGTAGTGTACACATATGTCCAACAGAAGACCAAAGATCATATTGAGGCCCACTCAATGATTATATACAAATCAGAAACACAAATTTGTCTGTTCCAGAGTATGCATGTCGTTGTTTGTCTTTTTTTTTGTTTGAATGTTTCAGATAAGAGAAAAGACAATTTGAAAAATATACACATGTGAGGGGCTGAGATGCAAAACCTGATACATCCATTTTAGCACTTTTGAGAAAATCAGCTTTTTTAAAATGCTGCTTTACGC